TTTATTTTAATATAAAAATAAAAATTATTTCTTATTAAAATTATAAATTTTAATATAAAGAGAAAATTTCAATTTTTGCTATGTTTTATTAGTAAATTCAGCCTCTGAGTCATTACTTTTGGTTGTCACTATATATTATAATTATTGTTTTTTATATAAATAAATTATAGATTTGTAATTTAAAATAAAACAATTAATTTAATAATAAATAAAATTCTTAATATATTATATTTAATAAAATCTTTTATTAAAAAAATATAATAATAAATGAATTTGATAACTAATAATTTTTTATAATATTATATATATATAATTAAACTCAATTTTAAATGAAATTTATATATAATAATAATAAATAGCATATATTAAAATGAAATTTTTGATTAAATTTATGCAAATTATATAGATTATTTGATTAAATTTATTATAGTTTCTTGTAATTAAATAGCAAATTCTTAAAATAATAATAATTATATAAAAAATTAAATTCTATTAATTTAATTTTAATATATTATATAATAATTATTTAATATTTTATTTTAAACTAATTTTATTTTAATCTATCACAATTTTAAATTTTTAATATTAATTAGAAGTTTATTTGAAAATAAAAAATTCTAAATAACTCTTTATTAAAAGCTTATTTAATTTGTAATATTATTATAAGATAAACTTTATTAAGAATACTATTTATTAGTTAATTAACTAATTTTATATTATAATTAAGATTGGCTTCTGGACCAGTTCAAAAATGTTATTTAAATATTTATATAATAAAATTATTAATAAATTTTTGTTTAAACTGTTCAAAATTATTCAAGAACCAACTCTGAATTATAATTTTATTAAATAATTTTTGATTCAAACAAAGAGAGAAAATCTTGATTTAGATAGGAATAATCAAATTAATCTGCAGATATTGCAGAGTCTTAGAGTACTTTAACCTTATTATACTTAATAATCTTTTTGTCTGATAATATTTTGGCAGTATATAAATATGTAAAGAAGAAAAACCTTGTTAATATCAGATAAAGCACTATTATATTGGATATTATCCTATTTTACTCAAAGTTAATTGAAATATGCATATTAAGAAGAGAACTATAGTTTTCAAATTATATTGGTAATTTTCAGATGATAATAGTAATTATCATGTGTATATTTGATATTACGAGCATCCATACATGTATATACTTGTCCAATTATATATTTGTAATCAACATACTTTTATTAATATTCATGAAGTTAACTTGGCTATCTTGGGGCTGACTTAATGCATGGTACATGTAATCAGAATCATAAAGCTTACATTTTTACAATTTGACAATTAATTAAATAAAAACACATTTTTGATAGCTCATATCACGTTTGCTCCGAGCCATATATCGGTACTGTATCGGTATATATTTTCTTATGCTAATTTTGGTTACACAACAGTACAAAAAACCCATCACTTATCGTTATCTAAAATACAAGGAAATTTATTATCGTCTATTAAGCTGAGACAGAATCAACCAAACAAAAGCGAAGGTGCAAATTACTAAGGTTAGTAGTAAGTAGTATCAAAAAAAAATAAAAAACCAACGACCTGGTTTTTGTTGAGGCCATCAGTCACCTATACGCTTGTAGTGGTAGTTTGTAGTGAATAACTATTTAATAATCGGTTCTGCTTTGCGCAGACCTTATTACTCTTTCTCTTCGCCGTGCTTTCTCCCCGTCTTTGTATATAGTGTTTTCATTTTTAAATATATTTTTCCGTTGAGCTGCCGATCACCAAAATGGATTTCTTTCGGTCATATACGATATACCAGCTTTCACACAAGCGAAAATGGCACAACCTTATAGAATTCAAGACCGCAGAAGTGGTAAGCGAATTCAACCACAAAGCATATAAGACAACAACACCGGAGTGGCATAAAATCGTTTCAGTCGTAGAGGCGATACAATCTCATGAACGACAAGTTCTAAAATTCGGGTCGGAGCGACGTAATTAGATTCAGCGTTGAAGAAGCAGGATGAATAGTAATGAACCAGCACCTACGGTTGAGGAGGTAATTGAGTCGAGTGACAGTGAAAGGAGAAAAATAATGAACAAATTCAACCTGAAATTATACCCAAAATTTTGTACAACCCATCTATATTGATGGGGAAACATCGATGAATAATAGAGGATCAGCACCCTCTATCGAATAAATTTGAATTGAATGGCAGTGAAAAGCAAGTTCCACCCGAAAATTCCAATAACTCATCTTCTCAAAATGTCACCCAGAATGCGATAAAACGTATCTATATTAATCTCGTGGATGACAATGAAGAGAACGAGGAAAATGAAAAACAAACTGAGGAGCTCGATTATAATAATGAGGAGGAGCCCGATTATGATAATGAGGAGGCTTTCGATTATGATAATGAGGAGCTGAATAATGATAATATACAGCCAAATATCATGGAAAATCAAGCAGAAATTCGCCGAAGAATTCATTTATACAGCCAGATATGTCCTCAAACTGGAGAAGAACGCGAATATTCACCATCACCACATGAAGGATTCACAACAGATTTGGATAAAGATACAATTGTAATTTGCTCTAGATGCAATCATGGAATGGAGAATGGGATGTGCGTATTATACTGTGGATATGTGGTTTGTGGAGACTGTGGAACATTATACAAAAAAGATAGATTTCTTTCTGTCGAGTCTGCAAAGAATATATTGCGAAAGACAAAGTTACTAGACTTTTCTTTTAATTATCTCATTTATTAACATATTAATAACTGCAAATTTTTGCGCATGACACACTATATTTGTCAATAAATATAGCCACATCTTAGCTTAATTTAGTTATATTTACATATCCATTACATCATGAATCAAAATATTAGATCGTGTGAAGTATAATTAATAATGGCTAGTGAGTTTCAAATTTTATGTCATTAGAAGTGTGATAAATTTAATGATATCATAACATTTAAATTCAATTCGCAAAAAAGCCATTAGTGCTCCGAAAGGTCGGGTTTTGGACATATTCGTATTCGACCCGAGTATAAAAATTAAAAATATAAATACTCGGGTTAGGTTTATATAACCCGAACTCGGTCACCCTTAATTAACAACTTGAACCAACTCGAATTTTGTTAAAAAATTTGGTTCGGTAGCAAACTTGAAAAGTACAAAATTTGTCGGTCACATGACTTTTTTAAGGGATAAACCAATCAAATCGCAAGATATGAATATTAATGCCATTGATTAGGAATTAAGTTTAATGTTAAGGCCAGAGTTCAGATTATATTATATGTGAGAAGATATACAGTAAAATTTTGCAAAGAACCTTTTTTATTAGAGCACAGAAAGAAGTTTTATAGACAAAATTTCGAGATACAAGCTATTTTCTGCTTTGAATTTTTTCATTACACAGTGTCCTTGCGATTTGATTGGTTTACCACTTAAAAATGTAATGTGACTGAAATTTTTTTGCCGGATATTATTGATCATCATACATGTTGCCGATACCAAACGATAACCCGGATTGTACAAAGGTATAATCCTAACTTGTACGGGTTGATTAAATTTAGGACCCGCGATTTAAAACTCGAGGCCGGGTTAAATAACTCGGGTTAATTCGATCGCTTCGGAGCACAAAAAATCTTGAAGCTGCATTATAGTCCAAGAGACATTTAATTTCGTTTTCCCAATCTTCCAATAATAAATTTAAAATATCTACAAATCTGTACTGTCTAGTTTTTCTTGCCCTAAAAGTTAATTGTTGAAAAAAATTTGCCAATAAATTTATATTCATCTTTTACATCTTTCATATGTGCTATTTTGTATTACGGAATTCTTCTCATGGTGTATTATTTTTGCGAATGTTATAAGCAAGTTAGAACATGTATATTTTATTATATCTATTGAGGATCGTGCATTACCTGTTTTTTTTACCAAATTCGGTTTATGCAGGTTTTTATTTATCAAGGTTGATTGTGTTTTAAATTACTGGATTTTTGTCATTAAAATTTTGAGACTTAGTACATATATTTTACGACAATTATTAAATGTTTCAAATTGCTAGGTGATTTATTGTTAATACAACAATCAAGAGAAAGGAAGAATATTAATTAACTTGTGATGAATTTCTTGTATATAGAGTTTTTATATAGCAAAATGTGTCATTTTTACCATAAAAACTATCTGGGGTTTCTGTTACATTTCACCAAAAAGTTTAATTAATAGAAAAAAAATATTATTAATAAAAAAAGGGAGAGAATCTTTATTTGATGGAGGAGAGTTGTTTATGTGATTAATTATGGTATATTATCCTTCAGTTGTCAATTAATAAAGTGCTTCTTTATTAACAGAGCTGACATCCAACTTATATTAGTTTTTTTATAATTAAGGCCAAATATCTGTTATAATCTATTTAACTATATGGATTGGTGCAAAAAGATTTGTACCTCAATATAAAAATTAATAATTGCTTCTAATAAAAATCATTCAAATTTTAACCAA